AAAAGGGAAGAGGAAAATGGGTTGAAGATAAAAGTCAAATGTCAGGGGCCAGCAGTTAACATGGTGGCTAAGTCACTGGACTCCCACATGGCCATCCACGATTTGAGTCCCAGACCTGGCATCTTACTTTCTCACTTTTCCTTTCTCATTCTCTGATTCTCTCTGGTGAGTACAAATGCCCTATAGCAAATTTTAAAATAATAATTAATTAATTAAATTTAATAATTATTTTTCTTTTTTATTTTTTCTTCTTTTTTAGAAGTTTTGCTTTTTGTTTTTTGTTTTTGTTTTTTTGCTATAGGGTACGTTCCGTTCTCTTGCCAGAAAGACAGAGAGAGACAGAGAGCTAGAAAGCGAGAAATCACCTCCTGGGCGGATGGCCACGCTGCAATCCCTTCTCCTCCATTCTTCTCTAGGGATCTTGGGCATGCACACACATGCGCCTGGCGTGAGTTTAAACCACCGGGTCCAGAACTCGAACCGCAGTCGGCTACATGGGAGCTCAGCGACATAGCCATTATGCTAACTGCTGGTCCCAATAATTCTTGTTTTAATTAATTAATTAATTAATTAATTAATTAATTAAAGCTTGACCAGAGAGGGGTGGAGTGAGAGAGAGAGAGAGAGAGAGAGGAAGAGAGTGAGAAAGCCACCAGGTCTGAGACTGAACTATGGTCAGCCATGTGGGAGTCCAGCATCCTTAACCATCATGCCACCTGCCGGCCCCAATAATTCTTTTTTTTTTTTTTTTGGTGTGGAAAAAACAATCCCTTCTCCTCCATTCTCCTCTCAGGATCTTGGGCACGCATGCACATGCGCCCGACGTGAGTTTTAATCCACCGGGTCCGGGACGCAAACCGCGGTCAACTATGTGGGAGTCCAGCGACATAGCCATTACGCTAACTGCTGGTTCCCAATAATTATTTTTTTAAAAAAATCCAATTTTAAAAAGAAAGTGAAAGCTCAAAGGAAATCAATTAATCACAAAATATTGGATATATATCCGGTACCAGAGGTGTTGTGGTATGTTATGTTATAGATATTATACAAGATGAATAAAATATTGTCATATTACTGTTTTTTAAGGATTTGATAGCCTTGTGGTTGAAAGTTGAGGAGGCAGAGCCAGCAGGTGGGGTGATAGTTAGGTGCTAGACTCTCACATGGCTGACCCTAGTTCAAGCCTGGGATTTAAGTCCTAGACCTGGTGGCTTGCTTTCTCACTTTCTCTCTTTCTCTCTCTCTCTGGTGAACACACATGCCCTATAGCAAATTTTAAAAATAATAATATAATAACTAAAATAAACAATTCTTTATAAAGTAAAAAAAAAAAAGTTGAGCTAAACGTGACAATAATAATAATAATAATAATAGGGGCCGGCAGGTGGCATGGTGGTTAAGGGCACTAAACTCCTACATAGCCAACCATGGTTTGAGTCCTGGGCTTTGTGGTTTATTTTCTCACTTTCCCCCTCTCTCTTTCTCTCTCTCTCGCTCTGTCCCTCTCTGGTCAAATTAAAAATAAATAAATAAACTTAAATAAAATAATTCTTAAAAATAATAGTAGTAATGTCTATATGATTCAGTCCAGAAGTATTTACTGAATGTCTGGCACGTTTACATGCTGCATGAGTTGCTAGGCATGGTCCTTCTTCTCATGGGACTTACAGTCTAGTAGGAAAATCAGACATTAATCAAATGATCACAACCATTTAAAATTGTAATTGAGTGGAATAAACACCAAATGGGCCACAGCCTGACAAAGGATTAGTATCCAGAATATATAAAGAACTCCTACACATAAAAACAGATCATCCAATAGACACACTGTCAAATACACCAGTGGGCAACTCAAAAAAAGAGGAAAGGCAAATGCCCAATAAACAAATAAAAGTATGCTCAGTCTCACTTATAAACAGGGAACTGCAAATTAAAACACTGAAATGCCATTTGAGACCCAACAACTTATTAAAAAAAAAAAAAAAAAAGTCTTTCAAGACCAAGTGTTGAAGACACAAAGCATGAGAGCTCGCTTATGTTTCTATTAAAACGTGAAACAGTACAACCACTTTGAAAAACCATGTAGCCATGTTGAGGAAAGCTGCCAATCCCTATACCCTGAAGCCAGTAATTCCATACCTCGATATCTACTGGAAAGCTCATTTTCACAAAAGGAGTGGGAATTAAAAATGACTAATTCTAGCACTGTTTTTAACAACAGAAAGATGTGAAAACAGGCCTGCCGTGGTGGCACAGCGGTCACACAACACTGCACGATGCCAAAGCCACAGGGGAGGGTCTCAGCCTAAGGTCTCCCTGTACATGCCAGGCACGTGTGGGCACCTCCTTGGTCCTGGTTGGCTGAAGCTGGACGTAGACTGGAGCATGAAGACCCCGTTGGGAGTGTCTGTCTCTCTCTTGTGAAAGAACAAACAAAATAAAACAAACTTTTTTGTTTTTAATGTGAAAATAAACTGAATGTCCTCCAGAAAGGGACTGAAACAGTGTGGTAAATTCATATAATGGACCCTAGTTGACAGTGAAAAATGTATGATCTAGAACCACATGTACAGGGGCCGGCAAGTGGCGTGGTGGTTATGGGTGCTGAACTCCCACATGGCCAACCGCAGTTCGAGTCCTGGACCTGGCAGCTTGCTTTCTCACCTTCTGTCTCTCTCTCTCTTATTCTGTCCCTCTCTGGTAAAATTTAAATAAATAAATAAATAAATAAATAAATAAAGTTAAAATAATTCAAAAAATGGAATTCCATGTATCAATATAGATACATTTCAAAATCTTATGGCTGAGTGGAAAATGCAAGTAGCACAGTTACATACTCAGAATAATGCCGTCTCTTCATTGTTTAAAAACATGCCAAACAAGGAGACCAGCAGATGGGGTGGTGGTTAAGACACTGGACACTCCCATGTGGCCTACCATGGTTCGAGTTCTGGACCTGGTGGCTTCCTTTCCAACTCTCTCTCTCTCCGTGTGTGTGTGTGTGTGTGTGTGTGTGTGTGTGTGTGTGTGTGAGACTCTCTTTAATTAAAATAAATGAATGAATAAATTAAATTAAATAATAATAATTTAAAAAAACCTGCCAAACAAATATATAAAGTACTTACAGGTACAAAGAAGACATATAGTGAAAACCAGGAAGCCTTCATGGGACCAGTAAACCCAAAATGTACAAAGAGGGGCAGAAGTGAATTCAGAGGTCTTAGCCAGATGTGCAAAGTTGTGTGTCCTTTTAAAGAGATCTGGGGACCAGCAGATGCAAATAGTGTAGTGGTTCCCACATGGCCGACCATGGTTCGAGTCCCGGACCCGAAAATCACACCAGGTGCATGTGCATGCATGCCCAAGATCCCAAGAGGAAAATGGAGAAGGGATTACTGTGAGGCTATCCCCCCTTGAGGGGTGATTTCTGGCTTTCCTTCTCTGGCAGGTGCATGCACCCTAAGGCAAAAACCTCTAAATAAATAAATAAATAAATATAAAGAAAGAAAGAGCTGAAGACACAGGGCAGTGTTAAGTTATGGTAAAGTGGGGTGGGCACACAAAATGCTGAGTATTTTATGTTATGCTCTGTAGTTTTTTGTATGCTTTTAAAAGATTTATTTTTTTTTAAATTGCACTTTGGCCTAACTTGGGGATTGGGTGGGGTGGCACATCAGGGAAGGCTTCTCGAAGGAAATGATGCTTATTCAGGATGAAAGGCAAAGACTGAGTGGGTGAGGAGGGGTGGAAGGACGCTGTGGGCAGAGAAAACAGCCCATGCAAAGCCCCGGGAGGACCAGAGACTGGGAATTGCCGGATCACTCACCCCAAAGCAGAGGGAGGAAGGGGCTGGAATAGCTGGAAGTGCACAGACCACGCGGAAGTGTAGGCCATTTTGGAGGCTCAGGTCTTTCCCCGAAATGGGACAGAAACAGCAGGGGGCCCAGAGACACTACACTCAGCCAGATAGCAGAACAGAGACGGCATTCTTGAAGAGATGACTCACATCTTAAGCTCTGGAGAATGAGTAAGAGGAAGCCAACTGGGGGAGGGAGGAAGGTGTAAATTCCCTGGATCGGGCCCAACAGCAACAAAGACACCAAGACCTTAAATAGTGTGACCCTAGCAAGGTCCAACACCGGAGCTAGCTCTTAAAACGGCCCATCGAAAAAAGCAGAAAATGTCCCAGGGGCCTCACGCTGGGCAGCCGTAAGCCAGAGAGGGCTTAGAGGTTGAACCCACAGGCAGACACGGGGTGTAGGTAGCTGGCTCGGGCCGTGTTTGGAAGATGGATTCGGAAGGAGGCAGGAGCGCAGACAAGGAGACCTTTGAGAGAAACGTGTTAACAGCCAAGGAGGGCGGGGACTTTCGAAGGTCTAAATGCGGATCTAGAATGAGGATGGAGTGGAGGGCGCCAGAGAGGTACTTGCAGGGAACGCGAGGCGCCCAGGACGCCGGGGCGGGCGGTCGCGCCATCCCTGAGATGGACAATGATAGGGCAGGACACGGCGAGTTGGAGGTGCGTGCAGGGCAAGCCAAGTGGAAGTGTCGAGCAAGCGAGGGGCTGGGCCGGGGGGCGCTGCGGCGCAGAGCCGGAGTGGGAGGCGCCTCCTGTGGGTGGGTGCTAACCGCTGACGGCGGAAGAGTTGCTCCAGGAGGTTAGAGGGTGAAGACACTGAACGGGTCGCTCGGGAACCCCCGGGACTGGGATGGGGCGGGGCGGAGCAGAAGGACCACGCAGACGCTGAGCGGGCCGGGGACACCGGAGCCGGCGTTTGCATCCTCCTCCTCCCTGCAGGCCTGCAGGCGGAGCCCCGAGTGTGCCCCACGCATGCAGGGCTCCCAGGGCCGCAT